TCAGTTGCCATCAAGTGCACTTTGACTCATGGATATCCATGTGTGTCAGAGGAGCATTGTGGCCCATAAGGTTTTCAGTGTCTGATTTTTCAGTTGATCACCATGTCTTCCTTCTGAGGCCCCTCCAAGTGAGCTTGAATCACCAACGTTTTGATTAGCGATGAGCACACTAATTGTTTGCAACACCCAGGAATCCTTTCAGTTAGAGCAACTTTATTATCATTCCAGAAAGATTTTGATCTTCAAGGGGGAACGGTGTCTGTTTCATGGGAAGAGGTGAGGAATCTCTCACCGTGCCAGTCAGGATGTTAAGAACCCCACATGAGGAGTGGTAGTAGGGGGAAAAAAGAGGATGTTGACAGGTCAGCATAGATCGGACATCATGGTAAACTGGACATGTAAGGTGAGAGAAGGATAAATTTAGTTTTGTTTTCTGGATTAATTTACCCAAAATTCTGTTCAATCACTGAGAAAGATACTATAAAAAGCATACAAAGTATGAGAAGAGCGAGAGCTTGATTTTAGATAGGTTGAGTTCAAAATGCTTGTGAGACATAAATCCCAGTGGAAATTCCCAGGAGGCAAATTTCTATACCAGTTTGGTGCTAGGGGAGCTCCAGATTTGGAGTCATTTTCCTGAAGGTGGTATTCAAGCCTTGGAAGTGGCTGAGATTGCTTGGCAGGAAGAGGCCTTAGCTAGGGAAGAAAAATATGCCAGGGATAGAACTCAGGAGACACCAACATGTTTATGACTTGGGCAGACAAACAGAAAGCAGAGATGACAGGTGGAGAAGATCTGGAGATACAAAGAGAGAATTCCTGGAAGGGAATTTCAGCAGTGCTTACCAAGTAGATAAAGGTGAAGAGTCTGTTGGCTTCGGCAGTTAGGAGCTCTTGAGCAACTATGCAGAAGCCATAATAGTAGTTAAGTAGGAAGTGGAAGTACACGCCTGAGTTTGGAGAAGGAACAGGATATGAGGAAAGATGAAGCACCAAATAGCCCTGTACTGTACAATATAGTAGCCACTCGTCATATATGGTGTTTAATTTTGAATATACATAAGTAAATCATGAGTAAACTTAAAATTAAATTCCTCAGTCACACAAGCTATGCTACAAGTATTTCTTAGCCATATGGCTAGTGGCTATAGTGTTGGACAGTTCAGATACAGAATGTAGCTACTAACAGAAATTTCTATTGCCTAAGGCATTTGACTGCTAACCAGAAGGCTGGCAGTTCAAACCCACCAGCTACTCCTCGGAAAGAAGATTGGGCAATCCACTTCCATAGAGATACTGCCTTGGAAACCCAAGGAAGGGTGACTATGAGTCAGAACTGACTCAATGGCAGTGAGTTTTTTTGTTGTTGTTGTTTGTTTTGTTTTTTTGGAGTGCTGGAACATGGGAGGGGAAAGATGGAAGAGCTCAGATGGAATGTGGTATCAGAGGAAGATCTCTCCCACCTTCCACCCAAAATGCCTGGGAGTCTGGGAGTTGCTGTCCAACCCATGAGAGAGAAGAGATAAGAAAGACTCTAGGGTCACTAGAACATGAGACTAAGGATAGTTCTTTTTTGAAAAACAAACTAAAAACAATGAAAGTGCAGATACATTCTGCTTTAGCAAAACAGGGAATCAAATAGCTATAGCAGCCATATACTTGATGAAAAAACAAAACAAAACACATTGCTGTCAGTTTTGACTCATAATAACAATATAGGACAGGGTAGAACTACCCTATAGGGTTTCCAAGCAAATGGCCACATCTTTCTCCTGCAGATCAGATGATGGGTTCAAACCACCAGCCTTTTAGATAGCGGTTGAGCAATTAACCACTGTATCACAAGGGCTCTTTGTTGAGAAAATGTTAATGTTATATTGTTGTTAGGTACCATCGACTTAGTTCTAACTTATAGAGACCCTGTGTACACCAGGAGGAAACACTGACCAATTCTGCACCATTCTTACAATTGCTATGTTTGAGCCCATTGTTGCAGACACTGTGTCAATCCGTGTCATTGAGGAGCCTCCCCTTTTTTGCTGACCCTCTGCTTTACCCATCATGATGTCCTTCTCCAGGGACTGGTCCCTCTTGACAACATGTCCTAACTACATGAAACAGAGTCTTGCCATCCTTGCATCTAAGAAGCATTCTGGATACACATCTTCCAAGACAGTTCATTCCTCTGGCAGTCCACAGTATATTCAGTATTCTTCACCAGCACCATAATTCAAAGGCATCAATTCTTCTTCACTCTTCCTTATTCATTGTCCAGTTTTCCCATGCATATGAGGTGACTGAAAATACCATAGCTTGGTTCAGGCTTACCTTAGTCCTCCAAGTAAAATCTTTGCTCTTAACACTTTCAAGAGGTCTTTTGCAGCATATTTGCTCAATGCAATGCATTGTTTCACTTATTTGTTTACTTACTATTCTTACATAGAGAGGTGAAGTGATGTCCAAGGTCACAGTTTGACCACAGAGCCTCTGCTCTTTTTTTAAATTTTTGTTTGCGTTAAGTAACTTTTGTTATTATTTATTTTCTAGTTAATGGTTTACTCTCCCTTCTTTATCTACCCCTGGTAACCACAAAGAATATATATATATTTTTTAATGAAACCCTTTTCTTGACTTTTTACAATAGTGGTCTCATACAATATTTGTCTTTTTGTTATTGGCTAATTTCACTCAGCATTATGGCCTACAAGTTCATCCGTGTTATCAGATGTTACTGTTCTTTGACATTGAGTAATATTCCATTGTGTGTATGTATCATAGTTTGTTGATCCATTCCTCTGTAGATGGGCATTAAGGTTGTTTCCCTCCTTTTCCTCTTGTGAATAGTGCTGCAGTGAACATGGGTGTGCATATATCTGTTTGCATCACAGCTCTTTTTTCTCTAGGATATATACATAGTGGTAGGATTGCTGTATTGTATGATATTTCTATATCCAGCTTTTGAAGGCTGCATACCACTTTCCACAGTGGTTATACCACTTTACAGTCCCATAAGCAGTGTATGAGGGTTCCAGTCTGTCCATACCCTCACCAGCATGTTTTATTTTTTTGAATTTTGTTGTTACTGCTGAGGTGAGATGATATTTCATTGTTATTTTGACTTGCATCTAATAGCTAATGATCTAATAGCTAACAGCTAGTTTGGAAGGAAGATTGGGCAATCTACTTCCGTAGTGATATTGCCTTGGAAACCCCAAGGAGGGGTCGGTATGAGTCGGATATGACTATATAACTATGTACAAGCCTATCACATTGGTTTAAAAAGTATTTGCTTTCCTAACCCAGTGGTAATTTTAAATAATAATTTCAAAGGACCCAGAGTATCCTGTACTTGATATTTTATCACAACTTTTAGATTTATCACTGAAAATCTAAATGACTATGCAAGGCTCTGTATCTGTGCTCTTTCATTTATATTAGCCTAATGCCATTGATTCATGTTTGACAGTTGTTTTTTATCTGCTCCTGAAATAATTGTGAATTTTATTTTCTATATAAAATGTTTCATTGCACAACAGCATATCAAACTATTTATGTTTAGCTCATGTCCGGGGCAGGAGAATTTCACAGTAATGGATTAATCACTCTTCTGAGGCAGAATGCCACTGCGGCCTAACAGATTGGGTTGAGTTGTAATTTGCTTTGTTCATTTTACTGAGATTGGCCCTATTTCTTGGTAATTATTTTCTGATTGAAGATTTCACCTGGGATAGACTGCTTCTACAAGCAAGGAGTGAAAACCTACTTTGAGTCATTAAACCAAGAGGATTTGTAAACATGACACAATCTCTTAGCATCATTTTGGAAAAACTTTATATCCCCTTGCAGCATTCTCTTAATAATATATTCTTTAGTGGAGTATGTCTTAAACTAGTTATCATTTTTATGTCCTAATGGTGAAAACAGTTTTCATAAATGATATCTGATGGTACTATAAATGTAATTACAACTTAAGCAGTTGGGCTCCATACTTAAAAGTAATTTCTTCATTAGCTCCATTTAGAATATGATGAGGAAAATGAAGACCTGTTCATTACCTTTGTGTTTGGCTGAGGGAAGCAGGCATATGGAAAGCATATGCCATTCACACAGTTAATATATTTTTAATGGATTTGAAGTCGTAGATGTAAATGATGAGGGTAAACAAGCTTTGTGAACTTTTTGGAGTCATATTTTGTATCTGTCATAGCATGTTACAAGTAATTTGTTTTCAGGGAATTGGATTGTCATATCTAAATTTATTCCTTAGTGCAGGAGGGCATGAAATATGTTGTAATGATGAATTATTCCAGTGATACTTGTTTTTTAAAATCTTCACTTTTGTTTGAAATTGATTTAAAAAGTCCTTTTCTTACAAAATCATTTTTCTAGACTGTGTTCATTTCTTGTTTAAAAGGAACAACTGGAGCTATTTACAGCAATGCTGCTAACAAAATAATAATAACTTTAGTTTCCCTATTGCCATCTGAATGCTTATCCATTAGACTTGTGTTTTATAGCACCTGCTCAAAAATATACATTTAATTTCTTGCAGATTATACTTTAAAAGCTTTTCAAAGACTACTTGGAAAGGTTTGCCCGTGAAGATAGCTGTTACCTAAAATAACTCTTGATAATATTTTATTATAGAAATCTTATGAACTCTGACTTCCAAATCAATCCATTTAGACTGTACAAATCATTAACTGAAACATGTGCAATCACATATGCATTATTACGTTTCTATATGTTAGTAGAGGTTATGTAGTGTCCTGGGCTTCTGAAATAACAGAAATATATGTGTATAAAATCAAATGTGAACGTATATAACTCCTTCATTGTTGTAGAAAATCATCTCTTTTTTCCATGCCTGGAAGTTTAGAAGTATCCTTCTCATTCCCTAATTATGAAGATTCAGGAGATGCTGTTTGTAAGACACAACATTGTATAAACCTTGCTGTTTTACCAACCCCTCTCCCTTATCTCTTCTCTTTTTTTCACAGGTGATTTCTATTCACTACTTTCCAAGCTGCTAGGAGAAAGGGAAGATGTTGTTCATGTGCATAAATATAATCCTACAGAAAAGGCAGAGTCAGAGTCAGACCTGGTAGCCGAGATTGCAAATGTAGTCCAAAAGAAGGACCTTGGTCGGTCTGATGCCAGAGAGGGTGCAGAACGTGAGGAGAGGGGTAATGCTATTCTTATCAGAGACAGAATCCACAAATTCCACAGACTAGAATCTACTTTGAGTCCAGCAGAGAACAGAGTTTGCTCATTACAGCAACACCTACGTGGTGAAGGCACCCGGGAACCTGAACACATAGGAGGTGCGTTTAGGGCTTCTTTTATGGAATAAAATGCCAAGGGCTACAATCCACATTAGTAAAATCTGAAGGGAATAAAATTTAATGGGTGAAAAGAACTCATCTATAAAAAGGACTTAGGAAGAAATATTACTCAGATTTGGATTATTTATTCAATATCATCTTTCTTTTATGAGTTTTTCTCTTATTTTGGTCTATAGTCCATAATTTTAGTTTCTGATCAATCAGTGAACCAAAACTATAAGGACCAAATATATTAGGATCATTTTTCAGAGGGAGGCCTGTCAAATTCAGTGTAAAAAATTTCTTACCAAACTTTCTATTTTGCTAAATGGAAAGAAATTGGAAATTCAAAACCTGATATGTAAAGTCCCATTGTATTAAATGTTTATACACTGCCTTAGTTTAAGGTAATTAAATTCCTCTCAAAGGAATCATTCTTTCAACATTGCCATCCAGTTGACTTATAAAAACATAGCCATTTTTATGTCTTTGATATCTTATGTTCTATTATCAGTTACTATCTTAATTGGAAAGTTGAGTAGTTATTTCTGATGGGACCTTTATTAGATTTATCTTTATTTCTACCAAGGAATGGTTTCCATAATTAGAAGACAATACCTTATTCCCTTCAGGTTTCTGTGCCAGAAAACTATGGATGCTTCATCTTTGTCTTTAATTGTGTTATGGCCCCTGTGATATTGTGTTTCATGTTACTTGCTAATGTGGAAAGCCAGATAATACAGCATGTGGAGATAATCTCAAAAACAGTAATGGATATGCATGCATGACAACTGTCCATGTGTAGGCTGGAATGGCACAGGCTGCCAGCTTGATATTTTCAAATAGTTTTGCAAGGAAGCCACATATTATGCAACACCCAGCTGATTTTTATTTATAATTGAAAAAAAAAATTAGCATACAATGCCTTTTGCTCACAATGAAGATTTGCGCATTATCCATTGGGAATGGCCTAATGGTCTCTATAAGAAGTTAACAAGAACCTAGGTGTCTACCACTTCATATTTAATAGGATCATACCTACTTTTAACTATTCTGAATTGATTGAATAAGGCAATGCTTCTCAAGGGGTGATTCCTAGAATACTTTGCGTCAGAATCACCTAGGCTGCTTATGAAATACCTAGACTCCTGAATCCTACCCTGGAACAACTGAATTAGCATCTCTGGGTAAGATGCTTAGAAATTTGCAGTTTACCATGCTCTCTACCCATTTAGTAAACACACTGGAGTGTCTGTTTGAACCTCCCTACTAAGGACAAACCCACCAGCCACTTAGTGTTTGAACCACTAAGGTTCAAACCCACCAGCCACTCCTCGGAAGGAAGGTTGGGCAATCCTACTTCCGTAGTGATACTGCCTTGGAAACCCAAGGAGGGGTCGCTATGAGTCGGGGCCGACTCGACGGCAAACAACAACAACAACAACAACTAAGGACATTGAATTGTAACCCAAGAAACACAGAAATATGAAAAGCAAAAGGATCTCTAGTAAGAATACAATTCAGTCTTGAAGAACAGCTGTGAAATGTTAAAGTTGCTTTATCCCCATGACTTGTCTTTTTTATTCTTGGATGTGAGGATGTACCATGGTCATTTCTAGATATTGTTTAAACATCAGCGTAAAATTCATAGTTTGACTTAATGCATTGTATTTTTTGAAACCTACTTAGTTTTTCTAAGGAAGAAATGCTTAAAATACCTGGAATACTTATAATACATTTGCTTGCTGTTTTGGTTACCTAGTGCCACTCTGAGAGGAATATATACCACAAATGGGTGGCTCAAAAAACAGGAGTTTATTCTCTTACAATTTTGGAGGCTAGAAGTCCGATTTCAAAGTGCCAAGCTCTAGGGATTGGGTGAGAGCCCCTCGACCTTGGACTTCAGCTCTGCCTCTTGCTCTTGGCCCACTGAAGCTAGAGGTGTCTTTTCACTCAGGCAGCTGCTGGCTGCTGAGGCTGACAAGCCCAAGGTCAACAAATAAAATGGCCCAGTCCCTATATTGCCAAACCACATGGCAGGCCATTGATCCAAGTCCCATTAACAGTCCCAAGATCGGCAGACAACATGGCAGGTTGCTGAATAACAACTCAACAACATGCAGGACTCAAGCGTGCCAAAAGCTGGAGACCTTCCTCAAAGTTGCTTCTTATATACTGGAAGCAGCCCATAGCCCTAAAGCAGCTATGCAGCTGCTCTAGTAGACCCACCAGGGAGTTGATTACCAATCTCAGCATGGGGGGAAAACTACATCCAGCTGTCCAGCCACTCAGCCAGGCCCAGCCAAGTTGACATATAACTTTAACTACCACACTTGCCAAACCAAATTTTCTCACATTCTCCAGAGAGGTCAAATTGGCATGTTTCTTCATGATCTTCAAGATGTTTCCTTTTATCTTAAGTATGTGGTTGAATGTCACTGAAATGAATCTAAAGAAAATGAAATAAAACAATGGGTTGTAGAAACATATTGTACTAATTCTAATTGTAGAAAGAAAATGTGCATATATTTCTTGTCTGAAATGATTTATTTTAATGTTATTTCACTACTCTAAGTAGAAAACTTTTAAAAAATTAAATACAAAATAGAAAAATTCATTTTTTAGGTAAGCTATTTCTAAAAAGCTTTTTTTTTCACCCTGCTCTTTCATTGCTTACCATTTATGATACCTAACACAATGTAATATCTAACTTTAATTGAAGCGATATTGTTCCTTTGTGTAAGCCAGAGAAAGACCTACTCTCAGAACGATTTCATTTGGCAAGAAAGAAAGTAGAAAGTAGAATTTTATAGCATAAAAGGCCCTAATAAAATATATTAATAGTCTAATTCACATATATGCCTCTAGGAATGGGCAGAGGGGATACATGGGATACATTTGATGGATAACCTTCTGTTGCTTCTCCTGTAGTCTTGCTTTTCTCCAGGCAAAGCTGAGAATGGGGCCCTAAAAGTCTACAAGAATTAATGGTCTCCCTAAGTCGCTAATTCGCTACCAGGAATTGTATTAGTTGCAAAGAAGAAAGTAGTTTTATATGTGAGGTTAAAACAAAATTATAAGGAAATTGTATTGTTTAATATCATAGCCTACACTCATTTCAGATATCTTTGAGACCTTCTAGTCTGAATTTTCAAGTGAAGAAATTGAGGCCTAGAGATGTTAAGCCATTTTAATGAGGTCACTGAGTCTGAATTTAAAACTTGGACTTCACAAATTCTAATTAAACTATGTAGTTCACAATTTTTTACATTTTAGTGTTATTTTTATATTTCAGTATTTAAGAGGGCCTAACTAGCTTGCCTAGCTCAGCTGTACATCCCTAGAGCTTTGGAGCCTCAAGGAACCCCTGTGAATTTTTTCTGCCCTCCCTGTTTAGAAGCTGGAAGCTTCTGCTGAGAGGACCTAGTTCAGATGTCCCTAGTTCTTGGCACTAATGCAACTCAATACAGTGGTAATTTGAACAGTGTCACATTAGATTTCATTGACAGGTCCATATTCTGGAACTGTGATATGCTGATGGATCACATTTGGCTAATTTGAGGCTTCAAAGGTGAAGTAAATGGAACTGCTCAAAAACCCAGATGTGACTTTGTGTGTTAGGCCCAGGACTACATGAGAGGGGATTCCATTTGGTCCCACTCCCTGCTAACTACCTTTAAAATTGGTACTTTACCTCATCTAGAGCATCAGTGGCCACCACATTGTGTGATAAGCACACTAGAATGACATCTTACAGCTTTGCATAGCTAAGAAAGCCTTAGTATTAGTGACAGCAGGATAGTTAAGGCCTTGGTCTTCAATGTCAAACATCTATCTGCCCATGGCACCTGTTTTCAAAGTTATGATTTTTTGGTGATGTTTACCATTGACTCTAAAAACTTCCTTCCAAACAGTTGTGAAATATCATAACAAGAGAAAAACTTTTGAAAACCACACCATAGGTAATATGGTAGTATAGTCATATAATATAGAACACTTTAGGCTGCGAAGCCTGACTGCCTGGCTTTGAATCCCAGCTCTTCCACTTCTTATGTGGCTTTAGTTTTCTCATCTGTATAATGAGAATTATAATAGTACAGTCTTCATAGGGTTGAAGTAAGGGTCAAACAAGGTAATAAATGGAAAATACTTTCAATAGTGACTGGCACATAGAGATTACTTAATAATTGTTGGCTGTGATTATTATAATTATTATTGCTACCATTAATGTCATATTGGATTGAGATTTTTAAAAAACTAAATACCAATTAATAGAGCTAAATATTAATTACTTTCTGTTAAGAAGCATTTATGAGAGAGAGAATTATGTGGCACTGTAATTTGATAAGTTCAGAAAGTGACACAGCAGTGTTTATCATAGTGTTATCGTAATAGGTGTTTGTGGCTCTCCAAATCTCTGATCACTTACATTGATCTGCCTTGATGTTTGCATGTGATATGTAATATATAGTGTGAAATATTGAACTTCGTAAACTGAGAAGTGAATGCATATGAGAGAAGCATATGTTAGTATACAGAAGCCTGAATCAGTATATATTCCCTTTTTAAATGTTTATTAACAATTTCAGGTGAAAGCAGCATTGATGGCTAACATTAATCTCTTTCTTGAAAAGAAATCATTCATTAATACTTTTAGAGATTTATTAACACAATTTTAATCATTTTTAATTTGTTTTTTTTTTCTTAAAATATAAGACAATATGAGCTCTACATATATCTTTATTTATAATGAATGCAATAATTATTCATGGAATAATATTATTTATTATAAAGAGTTATATGTTACTTGGAAAAACTATTTTTAAATTTCAGGGGTATTTTTCTATGTCTGAAATACAATTCATACTATTACTTTACTATGTATATGAGACAACACTAACAAGGTAAAGGCAGATCTTATGTTTCTTTATTCTAGTTGCCTTGAATTCATTGAATAATATATTTAAATGTTATTATTTTAAAACTATAAAAATAAATTA